ATCCTTTCCTTCATCTTGCACACCATCGTGAGGGGGTTCATCCATTCGGCCGTGGGCGGCCTCTACGCAGCTGTGTAAGCCTGCCGCCCCCTCCCCTCGCCAGCCCCCTTTCGGCTCTCCGTCGGCTGCGGCCGGGGCTCCCCGTGCCTTCGGCTGGGAGGGGTCCTCGTTTCCCAGCGAGCCATTCTGCCCGAGGACGAGAGTGGTTAGCAAACCATGCTTTCTCCCTTCCCTGGCCTGGCCTGGCCTGGCCGAGGATGCTTTCCGGGGATGGCTGGGGGTGGTATTGCTCCCCTGGGCAGGATTGCTCAAGCAGGCCATAGGCGCCCATGTTCCCTTTTTGCCATCTGATAAGGGCACGGTGCCCCCCCCCTGCAGCGTTCCTTTCGGGAACAAAACAGCCGCCTGACCCTGGGCCCGGCCTGTGGCCTCGCTTTCCTCTCTGGGGCTTGCGGATTTCTGCCCCCCACCCCACCCCCAGGGCTTGTCTGGGGGCCCCCACCTCGGCCGAGGGAGTCCTGGGAGCAAAGCCTCCGATTGGGCTCCTCGCCTTCTCTCGGGTGTCTCTGCCGGCCGGCCGGCCGGGTAAATAAGTGGGTGGGTGGGTGGGAGAGCCCGGCCCGGCCTGGCCGTCACTGAGATCCAGTTTCAGCGGCTGCAACTCGCTCGACCAGGCTGGCTCTTTGTGTTCCTGCCCTTGAGTGTTGGTCTGTGTGTGTGTGTGTGTGTGTGTTTAAGACAAGCAAGAGCACTCAGTGCTTCCTCTCCGCGAGGGGGTTGGGTGAACTTGAGCAAAGTGAAGCCTGGTTGCCCAACGGCTGGAGGAGGACCAAGCGCCCTCCCTCCCTCTCCCAGGCGCTGTTTTTCCATCTCCAAACGCCCACATTCAGCACTTTGTAATCAGGGACGCGGATCCGCCGCTCGAGATCAACATGTTTGTCCTCCAGGAGGTCTCGTTCCTGCCCAGTCGAGATTTGGGAAGGCAGCCAAGGCCTCCGAGCCTGGCTTGTTTACGGAGTCTCCTCGCTCCCAAGCTGAGGCTGCTCAGGAAGGCTGGACCCGACCTGTGTGACCCGCAACAGATGCCTGACTACGTCCCTCAGGCCAAAGCTGGCCGGCCAGCGGGGCTCGCCGGCCGAAGTAAACATCCTCACCCCAGTTGCCAGAAAGGCCCGTTTCAGTTTCCCGCTCCCCACCGTGGGGCAAACAGAGGAAGCCTGAAACGTTCTCTATTAGCTTCCCTGATGACAGTTCTGTGTGTGTGTGTGTGTGTGCGTGTGCGCACGCGCACATGCGCAGAATCCCTGCCGTCTTAGCCTCTGCCTCTTGTCTGTCGCTGAGATCCAGAGAGTGGTGCTGTGGCTCTCTGGATCTTGCCAGAAAGCCACTCCTGGGGGGCCCTGGAGAGCCGGAGGGAGATGACCCAGAGGACCCTTCCCCACCCGCCCCATTCCGGACGAAGGCCTCCCGAATACAGGGCAGCTCAGTGGGCGATTTCTGCTGAAGGCGGAGACCTGTGTGAGGCTCGGCACCTCCTGCAGGAAAGAGCTGGAGGAATGAATGGGTGCCCGAACCCAGGGCCCTGTCCCCTCGGGGAATTCCCCTTGCCTGCCCCTGCCCCCCCTCCCCGGGGGTGGGGGTGGAAGAGGTG